TGATTGAAGATGCAAATAGATTTGAAAAATAGTTGGTTTGTCACCAAGTTTAGACAAAGTAAGCAGTTAAATCCTTTAAGTAAAATAATTGAACAAGACTTGTCATCAAATCTCCAATTTGAAAAATTAATGTTGAAATGTGAAAAACCAATGTATTTAATTTTCTAAGTTTTAGGAATATACTTTAGAATATATGGATTAGTTAGATTAAAATTAAGTTATAAATCATATGATTTATGATATAATTTTATATCCATATAGTTTTGGAGTCGTATATTTCCTCACACATATGCTAGCATATGCTAACTTAGGTTTTATTAGGATTTATTATTAAATTTTAAATTATAATTTTTATATTAATTAATTAATTTTCTATTTTATTTTTGTTAATTTTTAATAGAATCCTATGAATGTATTTGATAGATATATAAAAGATAATAAAGATAGAGATTTTTGCAAAGGTTTATTTTTAAATTAGCAAAGTCAAATCAAAGTTTTTCCTAAAGATTTTAATTGAGTTATTAAAATACAAGTGATTTTAATGTAAATCATAGATTAGATCTTGCCAAAAAATATCTTAACAAATTTGTTACTTGTGCAGATATAGAAAATGAAAAGGATCTAATAATTATTGATAAAAATCAATTGGTTATTTTAAAATGTGATGATAAAATTGTATGAGGAATTATCCATAATGCAGCAAAAAAAAATGTTGCAAATCATTTTGGATATAAAATGAAAATCACAGTTGATGTTCATTCTAAAATAAATTGTAAATAAAAATCCTATGCAGATTCTGGTAAATTAGTAAGTCATGGTGTTTATGCAAATTTTTTAGATTTATCTTCAACTAGATACGTGTATAAGGAAAAAAATATTAGTCCTGAAGCACAAAGGATAATTAATCAAGATTGAAATGAATTTGGAAAATAGCTTTATGAAAATGACAATGATCATTTACTATGCTCTATACTATCTTATTAAGTATTTAAACAAAAAGTAAATTTGAATAATGACCAAACGATAGGTTTAGTCTTTTATATAGAAAACTATAAAGCTGTAGGACATCGGGATAATGATTGATCAGAGTTTGCAGTAGGTTTATTTTTGAAATTGGTTTAGTTAAAGAAGAATATTTTATTTATCCAGAATATAGTATTGCTATTAAATGACATCAAATTTAATATGATGTTGACAAACACTTTTAGCTGCAAGATTAACATTATTAAAAGATCATCAAAAATTGATCTTCAAATTTATAGTCGACTTATTTGACAAATATGACAGATTGGTCATATTTGACCGATGATCCATATTTAACATATTAATTATATTTGTTATATTTGTTAACTTTATTAAATTTGTTATATTTGATAGATTTATTTTATTTATTATATTTATCATATTAGTTATATTTATTATATTAGATATATTTATCATATTATATTACTATTAGTTTATTTTATATAAATAGCATGCATTTTCACTTGAGTTGAAAGATAACTTGAGATAGGGTATTGTGAATAAACTAAGAGTTCAATAAAGATATTTGTTATTCATTTACTATTACCTTTTGCTGTGTCTTTATACAGGCGTGATTGTGATAAAGTTATTGTGATTAATTCGATGGACTGAATTATATTGTTTAAGTTTATTTTCAGCCCTCTGCCTAATAACACAAGCTATGCATGATATAGCTAAACTTAATTTAAGTGAAGGTGGTATTCAATATACTAGTGCTATAACTTTAAATAAAAAAACTGCAAGAGCAATAAAAAAGAAGCTGAAAGTATAAAAAATTAGATATTTATTATTACTAAATAAATTTTTTAATAAAAAAATTATTGATCAGATTTTATTAAATAAAAGATTACTAAAAATTAAAAATTTATAAACTTAACTTGATTCAACTAATGACTCAACCCAAGTCAAATATGTCAGAAAATTTTGACTCAATTTGACTCAAATTTAACTCAATTCATTTGACTCATTTGAAACTTTATCTGTAATATTTGTAGTATTTATATTATCCATATTATTCATATTATCTATATAATTGTATTATCCATATTATCTATTCAATTTTTTTAAATTATCTATATTCATATATATTATGAATATGTATTTGTATATAATATGAATACATAGATCCAAACTCTAGAAAAAATATGTAACAAAAAAAATAACGTGACAAAATATTTTTTTTAAGAAATGATTTATTAATAAAAAAATTCAATTGCTTAAACATATATAATGACTTCGTGAAAAATTATCTTTAAACCAATCTGTGAAAACTTAAATATGAGTTATATTAGAGATGTCTAAGTCTTATCAGACTATCAGACTAATTCAAGACTGAGTCTTGAATTTAGGACTAGATTTTATAGGACCCTGATATAGGATCAGAGTCTGGTGGTCCAGAAATCAGACTTTAACAATCTTAAGTTACAATTCACATATAATTTATATAAATAAAATATGAATAATTATAATAAATATTATATTAAAGGTCATATCAATCATGACGTGACCTAGGTCATATCAAGTAATTATTGTTATAAAGGTCACATCACTTGATCATTTTGGATTTGACTGTCATGATAAGTCACATCTGAAATGACCGGTATTATTTCAAAAAAAGTAAAATAACCCGATCATGTGCTAACACTGGTGAGGGTAGGATCAATGGTAAGCATTATATAACTTAGATTAAACAATAGTCACAGATTATAGGTGATTAATATTACACTATCTTTAACCATGTGATACCTAAATTACAACTAAGGTTTAGAAGCCTGAGTTCGATTCTTGGGATGATTTTGATGTATGATGAAACAACTATAGTGTAAGCTATTATCTTAGGTTATTTGTGACTTTTTTTCCAGTAGATATGATGAATGTGAATGATAATGGATACCAAAGTACTCTACTATAAGGTTTAGTGGTTTAGCAGTCCACTCAAGTAGTGACACCTATTTACTTAGGATTAATGCAAATTCATACTGGATTGCAATATATCAAAGAGAGATTATAGTGGTAATTATATATTATAAATTGTATCTTTTTGTTGAAGAGTATGCAGCTAAACTTTACCATCAGTGTGTATCTAGTAAAAGTATCAAAAAAGTGATTTTGACCATTTCGACCATTTCGACTTCATGTATAATCATAATATTACAGAATATTACATAAATACAATTTACGTAATTTTATGATAGCCTTGTAAATTTTCATAATATTGTAAAATGTAAGTTTATGCAATATTATGTCCTATTAAGTTTACTGATGAAATACTTCAATTTTACATGAAATTTCTGAATAATAGATTTACAACTTTAAATTATTTATTTCGCGAAATTATCTAATAAATAACAATATCATGCATTCTAAACAATTATAACTTTTATGTAATATCAAATGATTTATTATTTAATGAGTGATTAGATAGATAATATATGAAATTTCAAATTCAATCAATAATCAAAATTTTTAAATTTTCAGAAAATCAAATAATTTTGATGATAATCCCTAATAATTTAATCAGGATTAATTTTAGGTTAATCTAGACTTAATACTAATTTAAAATTTTTATTATTAAATATATAAACATAAATATTGCTAGGATAAATTAATTAAAATTTATCATCAATAACAATAAATTACAAAATACTTTATTTAATTAACGTTAAATAAATTTAATTACTTATACATTATTAAAATAAATATTATAATTAATAGTATATTTAAATTTGAAGAACTTTATGCTATTTTAGTGAAATAAATTCAGATTTAACATTAATTCAATTTGATTTTATCGATTCAACGTCAATTCAATATAGTTATGATATAAATAACGATATCTTATTAAAGTCGATACAATATTATAATGATATATTCAATTCTTATCATGACGATATAAATTCAATATAGAATTTATATTATTACGATATTATAAATGATATGAATTTATATCAAATAGTTAACGTAATGATATAGTTTTAATATTAAATCTTATTGTAATAATATTATTTCGATGTAGAATCCATATAGTTATAATATAATAAATAATATAGATTTGATGTAGAATCCATATAATTACAATAAGGATTTAATATTGAATCCTTTATTATTACAATAAGAATTTAATATTGAATCCTTTATCGTTACAATAAGGATTTAATATTGAATCCTTTATCGTTATAATAAGGATTAGATATTTTTGTAGATCTATCGTTAATATGTAGCATCAACCTCAATATGATATCATTATTTATATCGTAACTATATCAAATCAATAATATTATTGCAATATCAAATTGATACCATTAGAATTTTTAGAGTTTCTGTAAAGAAATCTTATTTATCAATCGATAAACATGATCAAAATAAATCTATTGAACAAAAATAATGTAATAAATCTTTAGAATCATCACAGATGTAATATTCAAACTCAATTTAATATCTACATATTCAAAGTACAAGAAAAAAATTTGGTTTGCATAACCTGTTTATCAAAGATTTTTTTTCATAATATTGTTATTTTGTTATTAATTTATGCAAAATTTATACATTATTTTAAATTCCTTAATAATTCTGTATATTAAACATATGGAATTTTGATACGGAATCTTTAGATTTCTTATAAGGATAGATTTAAATAAAATGCTTTAATTATTATAATTAATAAGTTTTCAAATTTGCAATATATTGTATAATATTATTGTAATTTATGATATTTTTCTTAATTTATAATTTAAATATTCATCTTTAAAAAAAACTTATTATAATAAATAGTTCAATTAAAATTTAAAGCTATAATTATATCCAAAAAAAAATTTTTTATATTGCTAATAGGAATTTTATTATTAAAGTGTTTATCATTGTCATTATATTCATAATATTATAAGATTAGAAATAAGGTTAAAAAAAATATAAAAAAAATAAATTAAATAAATTAATTTTTATTAAAAAAAAATATCTTTCTAAGGAAACTTGTAAAATCAAAGTGTCTTGTTTGTCAAATAATAAATACTACTTGTAGCAAATCCTTGTGGTGCAACTGGTTCAGCCTTGATAAAATAAAAAAGTTTTAATAAAAAAAAAAAATTATGATTTGATCTAAAAGAATAAAATAAAAGAATACAAACTGATTGACGACTTGAACTTCCCGTTAACCTTTTATCACGCTCCATCATTTGTTTATCCCATTTATCCATACTGAACCTTGGAGGCTATAGAGAAAGAAATTAATTAGATTATTCGAACTTAATTTTTAAATTTATTTAAAAAAAGATCTCACCTTTCCGTCATTGCTATGCCTTCTAGATAAATTCAGCAATGATCCAGTTATCGTGAACATGGCCGTAATAAGACCTAACAAGCAGCGAAGAAAGTATAATATTATTTGTTTGCCAAAAACAATAGTTACTTCATGTCTTTATAATATCATACCAAGTGGAATAAGGGCTTCAAATGGAACAGGCATATTGTAAAATCAATATGAACATTAAATGCTTAGTTTTCTTTGGCAGAAAGTCAACTTCGAAATTGAGAATTTTTTTTTTTGTAAAAAAAAAAATTCTTGCATAAAATTTTTATTGTTTGTATCACAAAACTTGCATAAAAATAGTTTGATTTTTTTGTACTTTTTTTTTTATAATTTATTTTCAGAATGTCAAAATTAGAATTTCAAGATAATCAAGGTAAATAATTATCAAATCAAATTAATTCACCTTTCTGAACATTTCTAATATTGCAATTTTATAGAAACCACAAATAACAAGCCCACAACTACAACAGAATCTATAACAATTTGTCAAGAAAATGAAGAAACTAAAGAAGAAAACACACCGAAATTTACATCTGAAGAAATTGCTGAATTACTGAAAACAGCTGAACAACATAAATCAAACGGAAATAATTTATTTAATGAACAAAAATATGAAGAAGCAATTGAACTATACGAAAAGGCTCTAGAAACTTGCCCAATTGAAAAAACGAAAGAAAGAGCCGTTTACTTGGGAAATATTGGAGCATGTCAGGTTAAAATGGTATGAAGACCTGTATAATATGTATAATATAATTAATCATTCCTATCAATTAATCCGTTTTATTTTTTTCATAGAATAAGCAAAAGGAGGCAGTGGAGGCATGTACAAAAGGTATGTTTGTAATGTACGCATGTTTCTTTGTAACAATAAATACTTGATGTCGTTTATAAAATAAAATAGCACTTGAAGAAGATCCAACATACACAAAAGTATTGTTTCGTCGAGCACAAGCAAATGAAAAAATAGCCACACACTCTTCAACAAGTTCTGCACTCGAAGGTATTATGGTGATGTTTTTTTAAATTTCAATTGTTTGATATTTCCAAATTTATTAAACTCTGCTCTTTTTTATTTCTTGTAAGATTACGAAAAACTCTCAACAGATCCAATTCACAAATCCGAAAAAATAGTTTTAGATAATCGTAATTTAATATCGAATGCAATTAAAAGATTACCTCCGAAAATAAAAGAGTTACAAAAAAAAGAATACGATGAAATGATGGGTAAACTTAAAGGTTTTGGCAATACTCTTTTAGGAAAAATTGGTTTATCAGTAGATAATTTTCAAACGGTAAAAGATGAAAAAACCGGTTCTTATAATATACAATTTGTTAATACACCCAATAAAGATGGTGAAGGTGGAAGTGAAGGAAGTAGCAGTAATTCATAATAATGCTAAAATAGTTAGTAGAACGACATGAGGTACAAATTTTGTATGTTGTACCAATAAATAATCATTTAAATTAATCATTTAATTGTTTTATAAATAATAATAATAAATAATTACACATTAATTTTGATTTTTTGTTTGATATGTAAAGAAAACAACAGGAACACAAAGAGGTCGCAGAGTATAAACTATAGAAAATTAGGGGGGAAAAAAAGAATAGAAAAAGGAATTGACAATCCAAACCAAAAAGTTGAAAATTTGTTTCTTCATGAAATATTTTTTTTTTAAAAAAAAAGGTGCTGAATTTAAATAGTTTTTTTTTTTTTTTTAGCCATTATCTATTAACACCTCAACAAAATTTATTGTTGCATAACAGCAAATTCTTCGCGTTCGCGACCACGAATAGTTGGAGGTTCAGTTCCCTTAACATAGATATCTGCAAATAATTCATCAGGATCGGGCTGTGGATCATTTTGTGCTTTATTTACAGCTTCTTCAACTTCTGCTCTTGCTTCTTTATCAAATTGCTAAAATGATTTAAAACTAACTTAGTTATATTACACAAAAATCAAAAATAAATTTTTGTTTTACGTTTGCATACCTTCATTTCAGCTTCAGACAAAATATTAAAATCCAGAATCCTTTGTCTTAAACCTGTAATAGGATCTTTAGTACTTCTCATGTGTTGAATTTCTTCACGTGTACGATAACTTGTACCTGGATCAGACATTGAATGACCTCCATAACGATATGTTACCATTTCCAATATAAGTGGACCTTGCTCATTAATTACCCAATCTTTTGCCCATGAACATGCTTTCTTGACAGCTAGTATATCCATCCCATTTACTTGAAGACCTGGAAGATATTGACCTCTAGTATAATATTGAGGATTAGCTGAACTTCTGCTTGAAGATGTTCCCATTCCATAGAAATTATTCTCACAAACAAATATCGCTGGTAAATCCCATAATTTAGCCATGTTGTAAGCTTCAAATACTTGTCCTTGATTTGCTGCCCCATCTCCATACAAAATAAATGTGGCATTCTTTTTTTCCAAATATTTTTGCGTAAATGCTATTCCCGTTCCAACCGGAACCTTAAACAAAAAGACGTTATTATATATTTTGAGATAATTTACAGAAAATGTGATCAATACCTGAGCACCGACAATGCCGTTACCTCCATAGAAATTCTTTGAGAACATATGCATGGAACCACCCTTTCCTTTTGAAATACCAGTCTTACGACCTTATAAGGAAACGAATTGTCATAAAATTATACTTCAAATTTGGTGACGATAAAACATAATCGTACTTATAAATACCCATAAGTTCAGCTAAAATTGAGTGAACGGTTCCACCACGAATAAAAGTGAATCCATGACACCGGTAAGCGGTGATAATAGCATCATCTTTCGTAATTGCCGCTTCCATACCTACGGAAACTGCTTCCTTTAAAGAAAAATAATCATTTGATTCAATTTAAACCAAATTCTCAATTTCACTTGCATTTCCCAACTTACTTGACCGGTACATAAATGACAAAAACCTCTAATCATTTTTGACTTGTATAGTGCGTCAGCAGCAGTTTCCATTCTACGCATTACAACCATTTGCTTATACAGCTGGACTATTTCGTCTTTTGAAACTTCGATTTCGAGCGAAGGAGGATCACATTTGTAAGCTTTAAAAGAATTATCAGACAATGTAAAGTTTATGGTTTCTGCAGAAGCAGAAGCAAATTGACGTACAAATAATCTTCTATTAACAATTGGAAGACATCGTGTCGATAATGATAAACGTGAGGTCAAAAAAGAAAGCATGTTTTGTTGTAAAGTGAGATGGTCCGATCGAGAAGCATAACAAGCATATGATTAGAAGAAATGCATACCATGTATGCATTGTACATCACGATAACGTGAGAAGAAGGATGTGACGTTTACTTACCAAAATGATCTTGATTGAAAATTGAAATACAAGTATTTAACAAGTCAAAAAGTTTGGTAACGCGAAAGGTTTAATATAGTATTTCATATAGTCAGAATAAAAGAAAGTTCATGTATAGCAACAAGTTTTCATTTGAACATGAAAGGTATTCTAATTGTGGATTAAAAAAGATTACTAGATATGAAATGCAACAGGTTTTATCGATGATAATTTGTTTTCAGATATAAATGAATCCAAGAATACCCAGAAACCCCTCACATTTTTACACAATAAATTCGGCTTCTATCTATATCGATCATATCAGGAAAATTTCATAAGAACTTAAAAAGAAAAAACAGGGTTCTTTTATTAAAGTAAGTTTATTGTGGTTATAGTCCCGGTCGGAATGCAACTGTAATGCAACTGTAAATGTAGTAAAACGATATTACTACATACTGATTGCATAATATCTGATGTGCTTTGCCCCAATTATTGTGCAACATATCAAATGCTTTATAAGATGTTCTTTTATACGTTTTCTTTTAGATATTAATGTCAATAAACGAGCATGGCACGAACTCAAGTCCCGACCCTTTGTCTTAAACATATTCTGCCCCATTTAGAGGCAGAAGACGTTGCTCATTGCGCGCAAGTTTCAAGGTTGTGGAGAGACGCCTGCTACGTTGAATCTTTATGGAAAAAATTTTGTGATCAAAGGTTGTTTTTTTTTACTCAAGTAAATCGTCGGATTTTCCAAACCTAAAACAAAATGTTGTTTTTTCCTTTCATTTATCATTTGTCAAAATTTTTTTTATAATTGTAACTCGTTTAGATGGAAATATTGGAAGTCAAAACCCAAGAAAGCGGATGGGTGGAGACAAGTTTTCCTCGCACGAATGGCAACCGATCGATGGGCATTCGAAATTTTAGATGATTTAAGTGCTGGTGGACCATTCTACTTGTCAAACATGAAAAAATTGAGGCAATTAGGAGATAACTGTCGTGATATGTTATTATGGGTTATGGATAACCCAAATGAGGTATCAAAATTTTTCGACATTTATCGATGCGCAAAAAAATTAAAAATAAAATAAAAACACATAAATTAATTACGCGTAATTTGTATATTCTTTTAGACAACTCTCACTCATTGTTATTTTGCAAAGAGAGCTCTTCAATTTATTCGTCGAAGCAGTGTCATTGAGAAATGGAAAGCATGGCGTAACTTAAATTATGATATCACTAATTTGGAAGGGTTCGCATTAATGGCTTCATTTTATAATGAACGTATTGACGTTGTGGATATTATTCATGAAATTGACGAATTGGCTGCTGAATTTAATGAGATTTGTCAAAAAGATCTGCCTCAATCTCAATTAGATAAATTTAAACGTTTGGCTGAATTTTTTGGAGAAAAATATCCATCTACCGCTTCCGTCCTTGACATAGAAACTAAATTCTTGTATTTGGTTACCCCACTATTGGAGACAAAGCAAAGCAAAGCTTGTGTTATGACCGTTTTGTTTGAAGCATTAGCGGGAAAGGTTGGAATAAGAAATGTGGATGTTGTTTCTGATCGTGAAAAATTTACGTTTAGAAGGTATCATTTTGTTCGGTATAGGGATTTTTATTCGGCAAACCCTTTATTGATGGATCATGATCAACTAGAGGAAGATGAAGAGGACATGGACCATGATATATATCATATCGATTTTCAGAAACATTCAGAAACGGGAGTACTCACAGTTGAACAGTTTGGTAAACATAGTTCAAAATATTATGGTGCATATACGCCAGAATATAAATACATTCCACAGGAAAGGTTATTCAGATTATTTTTGCAGGACTATTGGCAAAGCTTAACCGCAATTAGAGGCTATAATCGAGATGTCATTTATGGCACAGCCTTACAATTACATTTTATTAGATCACCAGAAATTTTAGAATGTTCGCTTGGGGATATGTATAGACTTATGAAATTTTGGTGGTCTTTTGTCGCAGCGAGATATAGATATCCAGAGGATTACGAATTAGGAAAGGTTGCAATATCAGAAATTGAAAAGTATATAGGTACAGGAACGTTGGCTGAGGAAGGGATGTGGCAAAGATTAATTGAAAATGTGAAGTTTGAAGTTGAAAGCTTGGAAGAAGATGATCGAGTTGACTGGGATTATGCTTCAGGTCAATCAATCCGTGGTCAGTTAGGAAAAAAGGATCCTAAATTTTTTGTAGGTGATGTAGTTTGTTTCAAAAAATTTCAAAGTTTAGGTGTAATATGTCGCTGGGATAGAAGTAAGTTTTTATGATAAATATTTTTATTCGAAAATTTTTTTTTTTATTTTGAATTTTTATGAAAAATGAGAAATATATATATGCTTTGGTTATTTTTATCCAGCTTATAATGCAGATATTGCAGCAAATGTGGCTAAATTCGTATGGACGGTATATAATTTCAAATTTTTCGTTTTGTAATTTACCAATAATTTCTTTTATATAGCTAATTAATTTTTTTTCTTTAGGATGTTGAGTCACAACGAAATGAACCTTTTTATGAAGTACTTACACATCGAGGCTCGTTTTTATATTGTGGTCAAAAGACTTTAGTTATGGAACCATATGATTCAGAACGATTATCAAGGATGGTGCCGTCAAACGTGTATGGAGACCATATAGGAGATGAAGCAGATTGGGAATTAGCTAAAGCTCTTGGACCTGTAACAACCGAAATAGTGGGTTGTTTTTTTGAACGCTGGGATCCAGAAAGTTGTAAATACATTATGAACGAAGTGACAGCAAAGTGGTTTCCAGATGGGTGATACCCTTATATTATTTTATTTATTATAGGTATTTCTAGAAATTTAATATTTTATTATGATAATTTATATTCGTTTGTATATTAAATAATAATAATTAATTATTATTATTTATATAAGTGTTATTTGATCGGATTATTATGGAACCTTTTTTTATTATTATTATTATCGTGACGATATTTCATTGGAATAAAAGGACGAGAATGCGATTATATTTGGTATTTACTCTCGTTACGTCGAATATTGTAATATCAAGCAA